CACATGGCACCTCCACTAAAAAATCTGATGTGGCCCAATTAAGTCCCTACTGTCAGAATGTGGTCACTGCTAAACAGAGTAACCAGGGCTATGCCAGGAGAAGTCCAGAGAGCTATGGGGTCACAGGGAACCTGAGAAGGCTGGCTGGAGGAGGAAGCATCTAAGCTGAGGGCTGAAAAGTCAGATAGGAGTGAGACAGGAAAAAGAGAAGGCACAGAGGTGTTCCAGGCAGAGAAAATAGCATGAGATTAGAGAGCAGGGCAAGTGTAGCCAATCCAGGGCAAGATGGAGTGCAAAGGGTTGGTGGTGGGAGAAGAGGAAATGGGTGATGGTGGACCGTCGGGAGCCCCGCAAAACATTGAAGGAACTGGAATTTCTCCTGAGCTCGGTGGGAGCCATTCAGGTATTTTAAGTTAGGAAACAGCATGGGTAGATTTTAAAAAAATGTCACTTTGCAACAGGATAAAGAGACAGACAAACAAAACAAACAACAAGGATTTTTCACTCTCTTCTTTATAACTTTTTATTGCTACATAATTTCAAAACAGTAATATGTATCACTGTTGTGATAAAAAAACAATAAAACCATTTTCATTTTTCATGTTTTAAAAACCTACCCTGGGGCTTCCCTGGTGGCGCAGTGGTTGAGAGTCCGCCTGCCGATGCAGGGGACACGGGTTCGTGCCCCGGTCCGGGAGGATCCCACATGCCGCGGAGCAGCTGGGCCCGTGAGCCATGGCCGCTGAGCCTGCGCGTCCGGAGCCTGTGCTCCGCAACGGGAGAGGCCACAACAGTGAGAGGTCCGCGTACGGCAAAAACAAACAAACAAAACAAACAAACAAAAAACCTACCCTGGCAAAAGACCTGAACAGATATTTCACCAAAGAAGAGCACAGATCACAAACAAGCATATGAAAAGATGCTCCATATTATATGTCATCAGGGAAATGCAAATTAAAACAGCAGTGAGATACCACTACACACCTATTGGAATGGCCCAAATCCGGAACACTGACATGATCAAATACTGGCAAGGATGTGGAGCAACAGGAACTCTCATTCACTGCTGGTGGGAATGCAAAATGGTACAGCCATTTTCAAAGAGAGCCTGACAATTTCTTACAAAACTAAGTGTCCTCTTACCATATGACCCAGCAATCATGCTCCTTAGTATTTACCCAAATGAGTTGAAAACTTACGTTCAACACAACAACCTGCACACAGACGTTTATAGCAGCTTTATTCATTATTGCCAAAACTTGGAAACAACCAAGATGCCCTTCAGTAGGTAAATGGATAGATAAACTATGGTGCATCCAGACAGGGAATATTATTTAGCACTAAAAAGAAGTGAGCTATCAAGCCATGAAAAGACGTGGAAGAAACTTAAATGCATATTACTAAGTGAAAGAAACTAATCTGAAAAGGCTACATACAGTATAATTCCAATGATACGATATTCTGGAAAAGGCAAACCTATGGAGACAGTAAAAAGATCAGTCATTGCAAGGGTTAGAGGGGAGGAAGGGATGAATAGGCAGAGCACAGAGGATTGTAAGGCAGTGAAAATATTCTGTATGATACTATAACGATGGATACATTATACATTTGTCCAAACTCATAGAATATGCAACACCAAGAGCGACCCCAATGTAAACTATAGACTTTGGGTGATGATGCTTTGTCAACATAGGTTCATCTCTTGTAACAAATGCACCACTCTGGGGCAAGATGTTGATAATGGGGGAGATTGTGTGTTTGTGGGGACAGGGGGTATATGGGAAATTGCTGTACTTTCTGCTCCATTTTGCTGTGAACCTAAAAGTGCTCTGAAAAATAAAGTCTATTAAAAAGAAAAAAGGGAAAAAAACCCCCACCCTGGCTGTGGGGTGGAATGTAGGGGAAGGAGGTAAGACGAGAGACAGGGAGAACCCTCCAGATGCAGTGGCAGGGATCTAGCAGGAGGGTGGGGACTGTGATTGGGCAGGGGCAGTGGGGATGGGGAGATGGGATCCAAGGGCATCCACGGGATTTAGGGGTTGCTTGGCTGGTAGGGGTGGAGAGTGGGGAAGAGGTGGGAGCCCAGGAGCAGACTGGAACTCTGCTTTACCAGCCATGCGGGATCACGGCCAGACGCGTGGAGAACTACTGCTGGTGGTCTGGGCAATGCCCATGGACCACTTCTCTGTTTGCATCAGGGGATGGAGAGGCAAGGTATGGAGGGAAAGAAGAGAATTTGTAAGTGATTAAGACAAGAGAAGTAACACTTCACTCTTATTTAAGAAGCCTCCTATTGATTTATCATTTTTCTGGTGTATCATTTATATGGGATAATGCAACGAGAAACAATACACAGAAAACTCACAGCCTGAACTGGCTTTGCTGAAGATCAAGCCACTTTGGGAAGAGAAGGTTAACCCTGAACCTGGGAGTGACACTCCTTTTGATGGAGGGCAGAGCAAGAGCAAACTGAGGGAGAGGAGGGGGAGAGACAATAACTTCACGCAAAGGAACAACCGCCCCTCCTCCAGCTGGATCAGTGTGTTCAGTGGTCGGTGATCAACGGATGCACAGCCCAAGAAGCCGGCTCCTTTGCAGCAAACATCAGTAACAGCTATCATTTACGCTCTTTACTTGCTTCTGAGGGCGACAGCACACCCCTCATACGCCATATCCTGGTACAGCTGCTGGTTTTCTCCACCCCGTCCCCCATCCATCCTCCACCTGGCTCTGCCCGGCTCCGGAAGTGGACCCCTAGAAACTGCATCGCCTGGATCCCTGGCCGGCTGGCTTCTGCGTGGGCTTGGCAGGAGATGGAGGGCAAGAGGAGAGAGAGGATGGGGTATTTGTCTCCTGCTCTTTCCC